AAGTGGAGAATGTTCAGAAAGTGTCACCCCACTACTCAGTTCTATATAAGGAGAGATACTGCTAATATGTACTTAACCTGCTTCCAGCTGATGCATTCATTACACATCACATCTTTCTAGAGCTTGCTGTATTGCTTTTACAAAGGGCTTTACTGTTAGTACATTTATAATACCCGACCAGTAGTTAAAATGGATCTGTGCTTCAGTGCTGCTGACAAATAAAAAAGATTGACCATTCTGCCCTCCTCCAAGCACCGGTATGTCAAAGGGCCATTTGAGCAATGAGTCTGACAGCCTACTCGCTGGAAAGGAATTGTTACTTGCCCCAGGTAAGCCACTGCGTGCCTGGCTGCAGCGCATCGTAAATACCTTGACTTATTTTGCCGTCAAATTTTTAAAACAAACATTCCCAATAACATAGCTTTCCCTGACAGTCTTCCTTAAAATCTTACTTGTAACCCATGTCTCTCTAGGTCGCTGCTTTCCTGTCATTTTCACACTGGATTTTTTTTTTAATGGTCACGTGTGTTACGTTCCCCCTACAGGTGTGGGTGGGGACTGTTGGAGCAGGCCCCAAAGGCCGGTCGCTGTGTGCTACTTTCCAGCAGGCAGAAACCTTTGAATTCCAGGACGAAGTGGGGGCTCTCCTGCTGTCAGTCTGCCGGACGGTCGGGCAAGGGGTGCTGTGCTTTTTGTCATCGTACAAGGTAAAGAAATGCCAACAGAGGCTCTTCAGGCTTTTTTCCCTCCAAGATATTTAGGAGTGTGATTGACATTGGTTGGTTGTCAGCCTTGCCCTGCTCCCCCTCAAGGGCGCTCTGACCGGCTTGTCAGAGACGATCTCTGTCACCTTTATTTCTTCAGAGTCAAACAAGGTGCTCCTTATTGACTTTCAGGCTCATTTCCATGCCGCAGTGAGCTCTTCTGGTTTTTCTTTTTCTCTCTCTCTCTCTCCTCACAACCCTTGGAGACCAGTCGGAAGAGTGTTCTAAAAACAAACCAATCCCTTTAAAATCACGACAAAGGAAGTTTGGGGTTAGTATTGAACTTGCTGGTTCCACACATACATTTGCGGGAAAGCTTCTTTGTTTGTTTCTTTAATTCCTTTGTACTCCGCCTTTCTCCCCAGTGGGGACTCAAAGTGGCTGACTTCATTCTCTCCTCCATTATATCCCCACAAGAACCCTGTGCGGTAGGTGAGACTGAGCGTGTGACTGGCCCAAGGTCATCCAGCGAGCTTCCATGATATGAGTGGGATTTGAACCTGGGTCTCCAAGATACTAGTCCGACACTCCAAAGCACCAGCATACAATTTAAGCTCCTTTATATACTGAATGAGGGGCCATGGTGGTTCAGAGGTTAAGACAGTGTGTGACTGCAATAAAAAAGGCCAATGCTATGCTGGGGATTATTAGGAAGGATATTGAAAACAGATCAGCCAATATCATAATGCCCCTATATAAATCAATGGTGCAACCTCAATTGGAATACTGTGTGCAGTTCTGGTCACCACACCTTAAAAAGGATATTATAGCTTTGGAAAAAGTGCAGAAAAGGGCAACTCGAATGATAAAAGGGTTGGAACACTTTCCCTATGAGGAAAGGTTAAAGCGCTTAGGGCTCTTTAGCGTGGAGAAATGACGACTGAGGGGTGACATGATCGAGGTTTATAAGATTATGCATGGGGTAGAGCTGGTA